GCGTGGCTTTATCATGAGCCATACAATAAAGGTGTTCTTTTAATAGAACATCGAGTCCTGGCCAGTGACTTTATAACCCTTGTTTGGGTATTCCCTGGCCATATACAACTGAGACATCGGAGCCAGATGACTGGAATAAAACACTGACTCTTCAACTTGTTCTGTTACATCGAATGGGTTGTCATTCGCTTCCATTTTGAAGACCTGATTTCCTTCCCAGAACATTAATTGTTGGTGCAAGGTTGATGGCACACATTGAGAGGCATGAATCCAGTCTCTTCCCAGCAAGAGAGAGTATGTAGTATCTGCGTCCACAATAAAGAAAACAGTGGAGATCTTCTTTGGTCCGACCTCGATCGTGGCAACCATCATGCCTTCAGGCTTAGTCGGCTGCCCTGTAAAACTTGTCATTTCGAATTCCACAGGAGACAGATCATGAATTCCTTTCCCTAGCTTCTTGAGAGTCTTCAATGGCATAACATTAAAGACTGCTCCATTATCCACGAAAACCTTTGTGATTGGTTTCCCACAAATGTGAGCAGTAACATATAGAGGTTTCAAATGGGAGATCGCACCCTCTGGAATAGGAGGAAACACAATCGAAGGTGCCTCCGGCTGAGGCTCGGAATCTGAAGTCTTTGCCCACTCTGTTTCCTCTAATTCGTCATCTGCCAAGAATGCCCATAAAGGTTCGTCCATAGTATCATCTACCAGACTCGCCCACATCGGTTCATCTCTAATCTGATTAATCTCTGTCATTCGACAAGGGATTCGTGGTCCCAGACGAGATTTAACAGATCTTGAACTTTCCTCTGTAGTTACAACTTCTTCCTTTGTCTTATCCCGAGATTGAACCGTCAAAGATTCTATACGGAATTCCTCAGGAGATGGATTGATGTTGATCCGTTCACAATGTTGGCATCGAAAACCTCTAATTATTTCATCTGCCATTCCTTTACCTTTCCCCTGTCCCGACAAACTTCTTTTGGTATAGTCGGAAGCGCCTAATCCGTCGTTCGGTTGCTTTCCTGAACAGACCCGACTGGACCGACTTTTTGGAGACTGAATGGCTGCTCCCCGCTCGTTGGTCGTTTGTTCTGTAAAGACTCTAATGGACTGATCTCCTGCCGAGTGGTCGGCTGCTTTTTGTTCGTCGGTTCGTTGTTTTACTGAAGGACCTTATTTCCCATACTTTGCAGCATACCTGCGTTTGGCATTGCGAATCTGTGTACGATTCATACCTGGGAAACGAGGATCTATATCAACGGGTAAAGGCTTTTTATTTCGAGCCCAATTGTTCCCGACTGAACCTGTTTTTCTGGTCGGGTGGTCACGCACTACAACCCTTTCTTTCACCTCCACATTAAAAGAACCGTCTGGACGGTCCCATTTTTCAGCGACTGGCCTTTCAACAACTTTGAGTCGTTCTTCCGGTCGGCCACTGTTTGGCTGACTTCCTTTTTTTGTTCCGGGGCTTACCTGAGTTCGTTCCCCTGTATGTCCATCATTGGCCGAACTTTTCCCTGTTTCCGAACTTGGTTGGATGTCAACCATTGCCGTTGTTACTTTCGGAAACGGTTGCTAGTCTACACCTAGAGTGATGTATTTGAGCCGACCTGTCTTGATGGCCTTTTGAATTTCCTTCCTGAAATGAGTACACTGACTTGTATTGTGTGTGAAAGAATTATGCCACTTACAATATGGTCTCCCTTTGATTTCTTCTTTAGTGGCCAATCTTTGCCCCTTTGGAATACGGATCTGCCCATCAGTCAGTAGGATATCAAAGATTTCATCAGCTTTCGAACTATCAAACGTCGGTTGCTCCTTTCCTTCAGATCCTGGTACTGGCTTCAATTTAGGGCATACATAAGGTTTTCCAGAAAGGATTTCGGCTGCCATCTCTTCTGACTGATTAAAATCAAAGTCACATGTTTCTGTTCCCATACTCGCCATATGTTGGCCTCTATTACGCCTGTTATGCTGATCTTCCTCTCTGAACAAAGTCTCTAAACGTCCTGCCTTGGATGCAAGACTTGCCAAATCCTCAACATCCAGGGCAGTGAGTGCCTTTCTTAAGCGAGTATGCATATTCCGGACCACTAAATTGGTCATCTCTTTCTCACTGATTACCGTAGGACATCGTCCCTTCATCAATCGCACCCTTTCTATAAACTGTGAAGCAGATTCTTCTGGATACTGTCTCAATTCTAGTAAATCAGTTAAAGAAACAGTTGGTAAAGGATTGAAGAATCTGGCATGAAATGCCATCTCCAGTCCTTCCCACGTCTGAATTTGTCCAGGAGGCAGACTTGCAAACCACGAAAACGCTGTTCTAGTAAGAGATAAACCAAACAGCTGCAACTTATAAAAAGGGTTATTGCCAACTTCTCCTAATTGTGCTGTGAACCGACCAACATGTTCTATGGTGGAAGATCCGTCCTCCCCTGAGAATGCATGAAAATCGGGTGGTCGATAATTCCTTGGGAGAGGGTATTCATTAATGATCCTTTCTGGGAAAGGTCTCTGATATGCAGGGCGGTTAACCATCTGAGGAGTTAATCCATACTGATCCCTTAATATATGTGCAATCTCATCAGGATCTACATGAAAGCGTTGATGATCAGGAACATGGAACGGATCCTGCACAAGAATATGAATAGGATCATGTATATATCCTTCAGGCCTGTCCTCCCTTGTATTGTTCGGCTGCGGATTGGTAACCCTTGGTCCCAGTGGAACAGTGTTTGGAAAAGTCAGAGGAGATTTTCCCCTATCCATTCGGTTGGGATTTGTGGCACTTGGGAATGTACTATCCACGAATGATGGCCCTGCGAAATTTGCCTGTGGTCTGGACGGTGATACTCCTGGTGGAGTTTGAGTGGGTTGAAGACTAACCCTTGACAGTGCTTGATCTATCATGTTCTGCATCAGACTCTGTTGCTCACGCAACATGTTCGTTTGTTGCTCACGCAACATATTCTGCATAACCAAAGTGTGCTGGTTGTTCATTTGTTGAACATAAGACCACCAATTAGTTGGTGGTTGTGGGATTTCCCCGGCATTTGGCACAATAGGTGGTGGAACGGATTCTCCCACTGGTGCCGAAGATGATTGAGGTTGTGAACCTGCCATATGGACCCTTCCGATGATACGGCCGGATCTTAGACGTATGAAATTATCGCCGGAATTGGAATGAGCAATTTTGTCTTGCTCCCACTGTGGTCGCCAATTTGTTGATGTAATTTTTCAACAAAAATAAAGTAAAATTCAAAGATATAGAAAATATCCTTAAACTTGATTAATTAGTGCCTGAGATTAGGAATCTCTAAACACTGTACGGTACAGAAAATAAACTGGAAAATAAAAGACTGAAATTTAAAGTGGTGATCCCCAAATCTGACTTTGCTTTGTTGAAGTTGATTGAAGATGCCTTGCCAAATGATGATCCAAATCCTTAAATATTCTCTGGGAAACTGTACTGAAAACCGTCACCCGAACGGTTACAACGTCTCCTTCCCAACCGTCTTCCAACCCTTCTCCTGCTGACACGTGTCCTCAGCAGACCAAAATTATCCCTATACTTCACTCTTTGGCCGACCACAGACCTTCCGCCCTTTTGGCCCGACTGCCACAACCGTATTGGTCCGACTGCCAATCCTCCCGACTTGCAAACCATCTGACTTATTTGGATTAGCAACAGACATCCCGATTAACAAACCATCCGACTTGTTGGTCCCGCCGCAGAGTTCCGACCTGAGAACTTCCCGACCTGAGGGCCTCCCGACCTGCAAACTTCCCGTCCTGATGACTTTCCGTCTTGAGGACCTCCCGACCTGAAGACCCTCCGACTTGAGGTCTTTCCGTCCTGAGGACTGTCCGTCACCTCCCGACCTGAAGACCTTCCGACTTGAGGTCTTTCCGTCCTGAGGACTTTCCGTCTTGAGGGCCTCCCGACCTGAAGACCTTCCGACTTGAGGTCTTTCCGTCCTGAGGACTTTCCGTCTTGAGGACCTACCGACCTGAAGACCTTCCGACCTGAAATCTTTCCGTCCTGAGGACTTTCCATCTTGAGGACCTCCCGACCTGAAGACCTTCCGACTTGAGGTCTTTCCGTCTTGAGGACCTACCGACCTGAAGACCTTCCGACCTGAGGTCTTTCCGTCTTGAGGACCTCCCGACCTGAAGACCTTCCGACTTGAGGTCTTTCCGTCTTGAGGACCTTCCGACCTGAGGTCTTTCCGTCTTGAGGACCTACCGACCTGAGGTCCTTCCGTCCTGAGGACTTTCCTTAGAAATAAACCTATTTTCCTTGAGCTAGTTCAATCAACTCTATTGCCAGGCCCATTCTTCTTTTTACCTTGGGCTTTTAACCTAATTCTAAATTTCGTACGTAACAATATTTTTTATAAAAAAAAATTGTGATTACTTTATAATATATAAAATAAAATAAAAATTTGAAAATATATTTAAAATATTTAAGACTGCATTTCATGGGTAGACTCTAGTTATTATTATGTAAAAAAATCCCTAATTGCTACTATTTTTCTTTTTTTTTGTTGGAAAGACGTGAGAATCCGCAGCAGCTGCCCGAAAATGAGCACGGGGTAAACCTCCGATCGAACCTAATACTCTGCAAATCAGGTCCGACGGGAAAGTCACACTAGGCGAACCATGTATGGCGGGACTTCACGGTCACAAATCCAACCACTACACCACCAGACCATCCCTTACGGAACGTAATTGCGACTATTTGAGTGCCCATAAAGTAAACCATCTTAAAAATAATAGACTGCAAACTACAGCGGGAGCTGTTGCTAAGGTAAAGTGAAGAATTCTGATTAATGTAACATTGAAATTGTAGTACGACAATGGAATTGGTCAAAACGCTTGTTTGACAATCAACAAATTAATATACACCCAACGTTTGCCTTAGGGCAATAGATACAATATATAATATCCCTATGGATGATCTGATCACAACTTCCTTTAAATAGATCGACTGCATTTTCCAAACTTCACACATTCAATTCATTTCTCACATCCATGGCGACCCCTTCCGTTTCTCAACTTGCTCGGAGGTAATTAGCCATATTTTCCGAATTTAGAATAATTATATTTTCTACTCTCATTGCTCTACAATTGACAAAAAGAAGTTAATAACAAATTATATTGATGTTTGATCGTAAAATTTGATCGAGAAGTATAATCATTTTACCGGCGGTGGTCATAATGTTGATTGAGAAGTATAAAATAGATATGAGAAACAGATACTGATACTTTATACAATATATGTTGTTTGTAATATTTTATGTACTATCTAAAAGATTTTTATGTATTGAATAACGCAATCCACATAATGCTAAAAAATATTCGATCAGCACCCTAACAGAAATGCATTTGTTACAATGATATCTCATTATTGATCAAGCAATTCTCTTGAAAAATAGTAACAATTTTGTTTTACGATACACCGATCATTAATACATATATATGTGTGTATATATATGTGCGCATATTTATATCTACATAGACTAGAAGGCAAAGTAGCACTCATAACAGGCGGAGCTAGCGGGATAGGAGAATGCACGGCCAAGCTCTTCGCCAAACACGGCGCAAAAGTAGTAATCGCCGACATTCAAGATGATCTCGCCAATTCAGTCATCGAGACCATCGGCCCCTCCAACTCCACATTCGTCCATTGTGATGTCACTGACGAGGAGCATATCAAGAACGCAGTGGACACCGCAATTTCCAAGTACGGCAAGCTGGACATCATGTTCAACAACGCAGGTATTGCCGACGCCGCCAAGCCCCAAATCATGGATAACCAAAAGGATGACTTCGAGCGCGTGCTGAGCATCAACGTCGTAGGAGTCTTCCTAGGTATGAAGCACGCAGCACGTGTGATGGTCCCGGCGCGCACGGGCACAATCATCTCGACCTCGAGCGCGGCCTCAGGATTGGCCGGCGCAGCCACACACGCCTACACGTGCTCAAAGCACGCGGTAGTGGGACTTACCAAGAACCTCGCGATCGAGCTGGGACAGTTCGGGATTAGGGTTAATTGCATATCGCCACACGGGGTTGCCACGCCGATGGTCACGAAATTCTTCGGGGCCGACGAAGAAGCCGTGGAGGAGTTCATGGGCTCGAAGGCACCTCTAAAAGGGGTGGTTTTGAAGGTTGAAGATATTGCTAATGCTGCCCTATTTTTGGCGAGTGATGAGGCCAAATATGTGAGTGGACAAAACTTATTCATAGATGGAGCTGTCACTATATGCAATTCTGGATTTAAAATGTTCTGAGGTTATATGTAATCCATTTATGTATCATTGTTATGTTGGATTTCGAAATAAGCTTATCTTTTAAGTATGTATTGGATTAGAAGCTAGATCGCATCGCAGTGTTTTCTTGTGAGATTTTGGTTTTGAATTTTAATTTTGAATAGTAAAATTTTTAATTGAATAGTTGTTTGATTTGATATAAATATGTGTCATGTGATTAAAATTAGATTTTAGTGTAATAAAATAAATAAAAATTGAGTGTTAGATTTGATATTTTTGAGAAAAAAATAAATTAGAATAGTAAAATCAGAAGTAAAATTTTACAAATAAAGCTGATCTATCCAACCAATATATGAAATTTAGTTTATGAGTATGTAGCCTCGATTGGTGAAACATAACTTGAATTGCATATTGTTATTGAAATAATTGGATGGATGGCTATTGTTACTAATCCTTAATAGACACCACACAAGATATAAAAAAAAAATGCTTAAATATATATTTTAATTCTAAAATTTACGAAGTCTTAAGGATGACTAAGTTGATTTTACTATTTTATTCTCCATTATTTTGTCTTTTTTCATTTTTGCCTTTTTTAAAAAAAGAAAATTAAAAAAATATCCAATCAATTCATTACAAACCGGAGGTTCCACTGGAACCACCATCGAACCAAAATAGAACTTATTTTTTATACAAGTTGATTTTTATATTCTTCAAACCATGCATGAACTACCTGTTCAAACATATTGATTTTGGTTTGACCAGCAATTATTTTTTGAAAAAATATATATATATATCAATCACTTTGATCAAGAACGAGAGAAATTAAAAAAAAAAAGAGAAAAATAAAGAAAAGAAACACTGAGAAAATAACGTTTACATGCTCCTTTGGCACGTTTATATAGAAATGAATAGCTTTTGGATTATGTAACGTCTGAAAACTTTTCAACGGTTATGGTAAGTATCTTCTCACTACAAGAAAAAATTATTTTTGTAACAAAATTTTTTTGTCTCTAAATCTACTTTTTCCGTTACTAATGACATTAGAGACGGAATTAGTAATGGAAATTACGTTAGCTACGTGAACTTTAGGGACGAAATTTCATTACAAATATATTATTTTTTTGTAGTGTCTTAGAATATATTGGTCAAGTAATTGAGGTTTTTATGAATGATTTTAGTGCCTATGGTAATAGTTTTGAGGTATGTCTTGATAATTTGACTTTGATTTTACAAAGATTCATTAAAACAAAATTGGTTGTTAATGGGAAAAAGATTTCAGTTCATGATGATTGAAAATGGAATTATCCTTGGTCATTTGGTTTCTTGGAACAAAGAGAAAGAAGTGAAAGGATGAAAAGAAGAAGAAAAAATAGAGAGAAATTGATGCGTGCATGGCTGCCGGTAGCTGTGGGTGTAAAATTATTAGGGTGAATTTTTTATTATATATTAATTATGGATTTATATCCCAAATTGACAAGTTTTGGCTAACAATACTTCATATATAAAATATGATTAATTAACGAAAATAAATTCAAAATAATAATAATATGGAATCGAAAAAAAAATTAACACAATTAATCAAAAGGCTAAAAGATTTTTCTGAAAATTGAGAAGAAAAACAAAACACAAACAAACAGGGCTATAATCACTTTCATGAGTTAAGAATTTAATATCTAAAAAAACAGTTCCTTAATTACATAAATTGGAATCGAACTACTTCCATGTTTGATCGTTTTTAGATTCATCTAAAATATAGAGTAAAAATCAATTTTGATTCCAATCAAACCTATTTTTTTCATTTTTGGTCTCATTAAAAAAAATTTATCAAAATTAGTCACTACAAAAAAATAAATTATCATTTTTGATCCCACCGTTAAAATTTTAACGGAATAAATATTGTGATATATTTTTTAATTGAAACAACACGCCCGTGTTAGCGTGTTTTAGTTAACACAGGTGTGTTTGTTCCAAATCATTTGTCACATCAGATTCCGTTATGGTCACGTCAGCTTATTTCGTTGAAATTTTAACGGTGGATAAAAAATGATAATTTATTTTTTGTATGGGACTAATTTGAAAATTTTTTTGAATGGGACCAAAAAAAAAAAAAAAGAAAGATTTGATTGGAATCAAAATTGATTTTTACTCCAAAATATATTCTTCGTCATCGCAACGAACAAAGACGCCTTCGATGGATTTACACTGCGGACGGAGGACGGTGGACTTCCTCCGGTCACTAAAAAAATAATATATTAGTAACAGAATTTCGTCCCTAAAATTCAAGTAGCTAACATTATTTCATCTCTAATGTCATTAGTAACGAAAAAAGTAAATTTAAAGACGAAAAAACTTTGTTACAAAAATAATATTTCGTGGGTTTGACAACACATAATAGAACCAACCAACAACAGGTGTATGCATGATTCGCCGTCGCGGATCGTTGTCACCGATGGGCCTCTACCGTTCCAGATACATCGCGATGTATCGGCGCGCTGCATCGGTCAAATATCGGACAATAAAATTTTTTATATATAATTTATATTAAAAAATATCATAAACTATTAAAATATATCAAATCATAAATATAATGAATTTTAAAAATATATTATAATTTAAAATCTTGTTTTAAAAAATATTTTTAATAATATATTTACACTTAATTATAAGTTATTCTACAGTATAATATTAATTTTAATAAAAACTAATTTTTATAAATCAAATAAAAACTAAATACAATTCTAAAATTAATTAAAATAACCTAATACTTAGTCGAACCTAAAAATTAAATAAATAAATTATTTTTATACTATATTTAATAAAATTAAATTAATTAAATTAAAATAATTAATTGGGTATTTCCCAAATTTCTTTTAAATCAATTTTTTCCCACACAGGCATTCTTCTTTTCCAACCCTGCAGGAATCTTCTTCTCCAATCCATCCTGCACGATCTTCTTCTTCCTCAGACCCCTTCTTTTTTCCAACCCTCCTTACTCACACACAAGAAATAGCGACAAACACACCTTAGAATGATAAAATGAAAATTTGAGCGAGTTTAGAAAGATTTTGCAAAAAATGGGATATTTTCTTCTTACCGGAACGGTCCTGCCCGTTCCCGTTCTGGACTCGGCCGATCCGGCGAACCGCTGTATGGCTATCCTCTCACGACGACGCATAAATCTACGTCTCCGGGCGTTGCCTGTTATGCTCCGGAGATTAGCTGGAAATGTTAGACTTTCTCCGGTGAACAACTACGACAATTCCCGCCAGCAGCTCCGGGTGGCTGGACTAGGGATGGCATACCGTACCGTACCGAAAATATCGGTCGATACCGATACCATACCCAACTTTTCGGTATGACGAAAATACATACCGGTGCCGTACTGAAAGTTTCAATATACCGAATTTCGGCATACCGAAATTTTTGGTACGGTACCGGTATATACCGTTTATACTGAAAATTTCAATTTTGGTATAATACCGATATATACCACTTATACTGAAAATTTTGATTTCGGTAGATACTGGTATATATCGATTATACCGAAAATATAATTTTAAATTTCAAAATAATTAAAAAAATTAATAAATATCACAATTCTCCACCATAAAAATATATCATGAAAAATCAATATATTTTCAATAGTTTATATATTTTTTTGTTATGATTTTTAAAAAAATTAATAATTACCATTTATATTAATAATTAAATTATTTAATAAAAATAATATCGGTATCGAAATTTTCAGTATTTTCGACACGATACGGTACGATAAATCGGTATTTCGATAAATTTCTTCATCCCTAGGCTGGGCAGTGATTTCCAACAGCTGTCTTCTCCGAACAGATTCGGGGAAAGGTCTATCTCCTCCGCCAGACATCATCAGAGACAGATTCTTTCCAATCATCTCCAATATTCGATCTTTCACCGGCCTTCTTGGAACTTCGAATTAAGGCTCAAACCCAGGTGCAAATAGCCCATATCCCCAAGTTGAAGATGATGCAAATGATTCGAATAAACTCCTATTTATAGGCGCTACCAGAACTTCTATAATTTGCGAGCTGGTGCAATGATTTTCAATCGTTCGATCTAACAGGTGTGAATTTAAGCGATATGGATTCATCCTACAAGGATCATGGTAAATTTTTCTGGACTTGAAGCTGAGCCAATTATTCCTTTGACTCTTCAGTAATTCACACTCTCTTGTCTTCTGAAAGCGAGGGAGGATCGCGACCTCTGACAATGCGACTGGTCAAAATGCAACTTTGTCAGTTTTTTTTTTATTTTTACCACACGAACCGATTTCTCCCTGATCTATGTCTTTGAACGCAATTGAAATTTCTCAAAATCGCCGAGGCATAGCAAATAATACAAAAGAAATTAAAATATGTTTGCCAAGGCATTTTGGTACACTTAACCACATATTTAGTCTAAAATCTCCACATATGCTTATGAAAATTATTAAGAGAATATGCTTAAAATCAGCGTTATCAATATAGATTTTAGCCTATGCATTTTCTGCAAATATAAACAATCTTGTGAATCTGCCGGCAACACAAAAAGCATAAAGTAATTAATTATCAATTTGCTGCAAATGCATCATTTATTTGGACTTTTAATTCACTTCAACTTGTACGAAGATCCGGACAATTTGAAGGAACTTTCTAGTTATTATTTTTTTTCCCTAATTGATCAGTTTCTTCTCCTAAAGTAAGGAAATATAACTTGTCAAAGTGCCAATCAAAAAATCAGAGTCATAAATAAATCACCAATAAATACTTAAAATATTTTATAATAGATATCAACTCGTATCCAATATATATCTCAAATCTTTGTCAAGGGATCCATTTTTGTACATTAATTTTATTGGGGAGTTTTTGTTATTGCTTGTTGAGTCTGATTAGTATTTTTTTTTTTAGTTGTAGTCTCTTTACAAGCAATTCTATGACCATTTTGTATATATAGATGTGGTACAAGATGCTCATTATCAATCCTAATAGATATATAATAATCATCAAATGTGTATGATGAATTACCAGTATTATCAACAAGAATTTTCTTTATTGAATGATAAGAAAATTTTGATCATAATTTATTTATTTGAGGAACAACCTAGCAAAAGTTAAATTATAGGTCGAGAATAAATATACACACGATTATTTAATAGATGTATCGATAAGTTCCCTAAAATATTTGAATGATTTGCATGCTTGATATATAGGTCCATATATACATCACTATAAATTTGTTCTAAAATTGTAAGGGATTTAGTTTCCACTTTTGCAGGAGAATGATCTAATTATTAACTTTTTTGTGTGAGCAAGCAACACAATTAAACTCATTTGTATTAAACGTATTTTGATTTTTCAAAATATGGTCATATATATTTTTCATAATTTGTCTCATCGTAATAGAAACAGAATGTCAAAGTCGATCATGTCAAATTATAAAATTTGTAAACTTGTGATATGTCTACTATATTTTTAAATTATGTTCACCTTATCATATAAGTCAGAAGATAATGAAGACAAATTTTTTCCTTTGATGAACTTTGTAATTAACAAAAATTTATTATTTGTCTTATTCAATATTTCTATAATACTATTTTGACGAATATCATTAAAATTTAGCAATTTTTTTTATTTGAAATTTGCTAGAAAATAGTGAATTTGGAATATTAAGATTTACTAAGAAATATATCTATATTTAGCATTATATTAAGTTGAGAAATAAGTCGTGTTTGTTTGTTATATATTTTTCTCTACAAACGGACAAATCCATGTCTCTCAAACACACCCACGCTGACTTGTTTGTGTGTATGTGTCTGTATACAATGACGAAACTAAAATCTAAATTCCGGACAAAATTTTATAATTTATTTAATATTTAATTAATAAATTTAAATAAAAAATAATGACAGAATTACCCATAAATTTAGATAGTGTTGGGGGCAAATTGTATATTAATACATAAAAATTAATATTTTTAACACTAAAAAAATCATAAAAAATTGGGTTTGGGGGTCAATTGCCTCTCAAGCCCTAGTGTAGTTTCGTCCCTGTTTGTATATATACACATGTTTGTGTTTGTTTGTTCTTGTTTGTGTGTGTTTGTATACTTATGTGTTGTTGTGTTTGTGTGTGTTTGTCCATGTCGTGTGTGTATTTTGTATGTGTGTTTGAGAATTCTGTGTTCTGGGTCGTCTGAAATTTTTTTCGGTGAACTCTCCTTTTAGATTTTATTTTTTTCTTTATAAATATTTAAAAGTAACTTTGGAAATTTCGAGATCCTTGAAATAAAAACGCTATGCGCCTTCGGTGTTTGTTATTTTGGATATGGACTCGAAATTTTCGAGACTGTCTTCAATAGCTTTAGAAATGTTGAAACTGTTTAAAATTGTCTTGGAATTTCTGAGCGTACCAAAAGGACAATGAGTTTTGCTTTTCAGGTATCATTCCGAGGCAATAAAAAATAACGTCGGAACTAGTTCAAATTCAAAGCTAATTTACGTGGTCAAAACTAATATTTTTATATTTATATATATATATATATACATATATGAATTTAAGGATGTATATATACACTACAAAAAAATAAAATATTTGTAACGGAATTCCGTCCCTAAAGTTCACGTAGCTAACGTAATTCCAGTCCTAATTCCGTCTCTAATGTCATTAGTAACGAAAAAAGTAGATTTAGTGACAGAAAAATTTTATTACAAAAATGAATTTTTCTTGTAATGATACGCGTGTATGAATGATTTAGATAGCTGAGTGAAGATTGTGTAAAATCGTGAGTGCATGTTTGTGTAAGTAGGTATGTAGAGAGAGATTTGAAAAAAAGAAAGAAACAACAACAATGAGGTTTGAAAGTGATTTCGATTCAACACAACGGATCTATTTATAGACTTTTGAAATATTAATTAGTCATCAAATTAATCATTTGGCAATATAAAACGAAAGTATCTACAAAAACATATACGTACTTAATTCATAAAAATGACACCTATTGAGTCATAATAGCAACAAAAATATGGAGTGGTTGGAGTTTTATTCTCTCATTGCTCTATAAAAGACTTAAATATATTATATTAAGCATTCATATTTGTAACTTATTTATTTGTTCATTAATCATTATTTTTTTATTTTTTTATTTTTTATAATGTAGAAATTCGCAGTTGCCCATTGAGTTTGAGAACCCATGACCTCACTCTCATAAATCCAACCCCTACACCTCCATCATCACCACCAGATCATCCATTACGGCACCATTAATGATTATTTCTTCATCAGTCATCACATTCGCCAATCTCTTCAACCCTCTCGGGCATATTTATGCAATCCCAAAATATCTTTTCTATCTATTGGGCTATCAAAATCCATTAACCAGCATAATTACAAGCCCAAACCCTCTTTTTTTTTTGAATTAAAAATTATATCCAAAACAGTATCCAATTAGGGCTGGGCAAAAAGATCGAACCGAATCGTCGAATTTTTGAACTAACTTGAATCGAACTGAATTTTCGGTTAACCGAGCAAATTCAGTTCGAATACAAATACTGCATATTTGATATTTGTTCGGTTCGGTTTGGTTTCGGTTTTTCATATTTTTTTCGGTTCGGTTAACCGAACCGAATATATTTATGTATTTATATCATTATATTTTAAAATTTATATTAATAATTATTTACGGTTCGGTTTCGGTTCGGATATTTGAAATATTTGCAAATATTTTTTATTTAATTAGAATTTTAATTTTTTTTATATATATTTTCTTAATTTCAGTTCGGTTCGAGTTATTTGCAAATATTACAAATATTTTCGATTAACCGAAATTTTCAGTTCGAATACGGTTCGTAATTTCGGGTATTTGTTCGGTTTGATTCGGTTATCAAATGCCTGCATATTTGCAAATAACCGAACCGTGCCCACCCCTATCCAGTATCCGTTGGCCATGTCGCGACATACACGCTCAGAGAATAGCTGTCTATGTCCTCTTTTTAAGTCACCCAAATAATTGATCATCTCTTTCGTAGTGGTAGAGCTAACTTTCTAATTAATACAGCAACCTTTGACTGCTTCACTTTCGCACAGCTCGCTATCTCAATTCCATGGCAGCCTCTTCACTTACTCGTGCAATTGCTGAAAGGTCAGTCAATCAAACAATTGAGTTCTTTGCTTCGTCATTCTCTGCTTTCATCGAATAAATCCTCAATTTCTTGCTGCTTTTATTTCTCATGAATTCTTCACACTTTCTCTAATCAATCTACATTAAAAGTTCAAACTTTATTTATAGTCTTCATTCTACTGTCCTATTAATTAAACAATTGAGTGAGTCTTTTTTAGGTGTCTATTTTATTTTGAAATATACTCCCTAGTAAGCTTTCTTTTTTACTTTTACACGAATGAAGATAAATCGGTATTTTATAAATATAGTGTAATAAAATACTCTAATGTTCATTTTACTTTTGACATTACAATAAAAATAATGTGAAAAAGTGAAAAGCAAAACTATTTTGATATTTAATTGATATTTTATTAAAACTGACATGCAATATTATAATAATACTAATAATAATAAAATTCAAGAAAAACCTTCGAAATAAAAAATATTTGATGTGTTTGTTTACACAACACATTTTCACCAATTTCATATTATTCATTTTTAAAAAAACATCACATTAAATACAAACCTCTATCTAAACAAAGCTCGGTTTAAATTTTATATTGAGATTTGAATAGTAAAAATTTTGAATATGAATAAGTGTATGATGCAACATAAATAGATGTTGACGTGATGTTTTGAATATAAAATTAATTTTTAATATAATATAAAAAATTAAGTGTTTGACTTAATATTTTTTATAAAAAAAAAAATTGATAAAAATAGTAAAAATATGCGTAAATCCTTCCAACAAACACACTATAAATAATACTAGTGCATAACATATATATAGATTGGAAGCCCTCAACCCCTCTCTTTTGGTTGGAGTTCGAGTTCTATAATGCCGATTTCTATTTCTCTATTCCTTTCGTATTCTTGGTTTGGAAGTTCATAATATTTAAACAAATGACTTCGAATAACATCATAAAAAAACATAAATATATAGATTGGAAGGAAAAGTTGCGTTGATAACCGGAGGAGCCAGCGGAATAGGCGAATGCACAGCGAAGCTCTTCGCTAACCACGGCGCAAAAGTGGCGATTGCGGACATCCAAGATGAACGAGCTCATTCAGTGGTCGACGCCATCGGCCAAGCCCGCTCTACCTTCATCCACTGCGACGTCACCAACGAGGACCATGTTCGAAATGCCGTGGACGCCACAGTCTCCAAATACAACAAGCTCGACATCATGTTCAACAACGCCGGCGTCTGCATAGTCCCCACCCCCCGCATCGTCGAGACCAAGAAATCAGACTTCGAGCGAGTGCTGAATGTCAACACGACCGGCGTATTCCTAGGGATGAAGCACGCCGCACGCGTGATGATCCCAGCTCGGACCGGCGCCATCATCTCAAGCTCGAGCATGGCCGCCGAGTTAGCAGGATGCGGCCCCCACGCGTACACGTGCTCCAAGTGCGGTGTCGTGGGGCTCACGAAGAACGTTGCCGTCGAGCTCGGGCAGTTTGGAATACGGGTTAATTGCATATCGCCGTATGGGGCGGCGACGCCGATGGCCACGGAATTTATGGGAGTAGGTGCCGAGGAAGTCGAGCAGTTTTTCTACTCTAAGGCAAATCTGAAAGGGACTGTCTTGAAGGTCGATGATATTGCAAATGCTGCTCTTTTCTTGGCGAGTGATGATGCTAAGTATGTGAGTGGACAGAATTTGGTCGTCGATGGCGGGTTTAGTATTACCAACGCTGCATTCCAAATGTTCGAAAATGCAGAAACTTAGCCATTTTTTATTTTATTACAAGGCAAAATTGTCCATAACTTTCTCATGGTTTTGAAACTCAGCCTAAATTATCTTCTACTTTAAAAATTGCATGACGTCCCTTATATTTTACAAGATGTTGCATGAAACTACTTTGTGGTTTCGAAACTCAGCATAAATCTTCATTTTACTTTAAAAAAATTGCATAATGCTCACTTATACTTTCAAAAATATTGCATAAAATCCCCATGCTATGCAAAACATATAGATAAGAAATCATTTTCTTATCACACGAGGAAAGTTTCACGGTGGTTGGATTTCATGCAACGTTTTTTAAAGTATATGGGGTACCATGCAATTTTTAAAGTATAGGGAGATTTTACGCTGAATTTCAAAACCACAGGAGAGTAATAAGTAATTTTACCTTATTTTAATCTGATGATCAATGCAATAAGAAGAAAATTGTTTCTTTGTATTTTAATTTCAAACAAAAATGCTTTCCAGATTGTGTTTGAGTGAGACAGGGAAGAAGACATTGTTTTAATGCACTGTGGAGCCATCAAAACAGCAAATTGGCACATTTAGGGACAGTTTTTTAAAGCAAAATAATTTTAGAAATGGTTTTGAGTATGTTCCCTTTTGGGCAAAAGTCACGTGTTTGTTTGGGGGTTTGTATTTTAGATTGGAATTTGAATAGTAAAAATTTTAAATATGAATAGTTACATGATCATATATAAATAGGTATTGATGTGATGGTTTAAATATAAAATTAATTTTTGGTATAATATGAAAAATAAAAAAATAAGTATTTAATTTGATGTTTTTGGCGAAAAATTTTTGGTGAATAGTAAAAAAATATGTATAAATCCTTCAAACAAACACATGGTTTTAGGGTGTGTTTAATTGGAGGAAGGTTATGATGCTAGGTAATTACTACTCATTCTGTCCCACTTAATTTGTGTTGTTCTTTCTATTCCGTCTCATATAATTTGTTCTTTTTTTTATATATATAAATATAATTATACATTTTAATCGCATTTAAAAATTTATAATTTATAATTATTTATTATTTTAATTAAATTATTTAGTCTTAATCTATAATTATTTTTATTACATCATAATTATTTTCACTAATATACTTTTAAATTATTTACTAATTACACAATATTTAAAACTTCGTATCTAAACTAAATGAGACAAATTAGTTGGGAAGAAGAGTATCAAATTGTATTAGTAGCACAATAATACTCATCAAATAGTGTATTAGATATAAATATATAGTATATATATAGTACAGGAGACAACATACATATTAATATTTTATATAGTAGGTATTCTTCCACGATTTTTTTCTCTTACGTTTTTCAAAATATATTAATACACTACATATATTCACTATTTTTATATTCTCATATATAATTATTTATATTTCACATAAAAATATTCTCATAAAACAAATACACCCATTGGCTTTTATATTTTTATTTTTAAATACTATTTATGTTCTTTAATATGTTGATTGTTATCATTCTGCAGCATTAATCACATGTTAAAATTTTGGGGGAAAATAATGAAATTGTCTTATTGATCATCAAAATAAGAAGCCTATATATAGACAATACAAAACAGACTCGATAGACTCAAATTTAAGTAATCTAATCTATGAATAAGATCAAATCTAGATATAAATCTACTAAATCTAAAACTGAATATTTAAAATATCTCAACATTCCCCTCAAACTCAAGTGGTATAACAGAAACCAATTTGAGTTTGATAAGAAATTTGAATATAAATGCAAAAAACAAAACATAAATAAAAATAATAGTTCACTTTCCATTGGAACCGGAAACGAGATGACTTTCCACCCCGAAGCAAAAAACGAGATAACTCCACCGGAGCCGAAAATGAGATGACTCTTCACCGGAGTTGAAAACGAGATGACTCTCCACATGAGCAAAAAACGAGATGACTCCACCGGAGCCGAAAACGAGATGACTCCACCGTTGCCGAAAATAAGATGACTCCACCAGAGCCAAAAAACGAGATGACCCATCGGAGCAAAAAACGACCTGACTCCACTGAAGCAAAAAACGAGATGACTCCACCGGAGCTGAAAACGAGATGACTCCACCGGAGTCTAAAACGACATGACTCCACCGGAGCCTAAAACGACATGACTCAACCGGAGCCTAAAACGACATGACTCCACCGGAGCCGAAAACGACATGACTCCACCGGAGCAAAAAATGACACGACTCCACTTGAGCCGAAAACGAGATGACTCTACCGGAGCCGAAAAACAAGATGACGCTCCACCGGAGCAAAAAACAAGATGACTTCACTGGAGCCGAAAAATGAGTTGACGCTCCACCGGAGCTGAAAACGAGATCACTCTCCACCGGAGTCGAAAACCATATGACCACCGGAGCCGAAAACAGACAAATCGCAAACATCGGACAGATCAGATCTCACGCAGGCAATAGACAAACAACGAAGATTTCAGATTGCACACAGGCAACAGACAAGCAGCGGACATATGGCAGATCGAAAACGAGACGAGACAGATTTGCAAAAAGACAACTTGCAAAGGCATTAACTCAAAATCACAAGACCTTCGTTTGAATGTACCCGGAGAAACACGGGTTGGTAGGCTATATCTACGGCATGAGGAAAATAGGCTCTGATACCATGTTAGAAATTTTGGGGGAAAATAATGAAATTGTCTTATTGATCATCAAAATAAGGAGCCTATATATAGACAATACAAAACAGACTCGATATATTCAAATTTAAGTAATCTAATCTATGAATAAGATCAAATCTAGATATAAATCTACTAAATCTAAAACTGAATATTTAAAATATATCAACAATGACTAAGCACGGGATGAAATTAATGCAGAATGAGTATGATAGTATGGCCTAAATTCATATTACCTTGGTCCCAAAACTGGTGTCGTGGTAGGAGTAGACACGAGAATTAAAAAATAATTATATTTAATTGAAAGTGGGTAAAAAGTATAATGTAAATGTCTAAAATATCTTTACTTTTTGAAGGGTTTTAAAAAGTGAGTCGGAGTAATAATTAAGGATACTTTTGAAAAAATGAGAATAACATTGTTACATTTACTAAATAAGAAAACACAACAATTGTTTTGAAACGAACGAAAAAAAAAAAAAAAAAAAAAAACAATTCTTTTGGAACGAAGAAAATATATACATTCGATAAAATCTTTTAATTGTAGCAGAAAAAATTTGTAACAATTTAGTGGCAGACAACACCCTTAATAAGCAAATGTTATTGTATTTGTTATGATTTAATATACTCATCAAAATGTGCGAACATGGTGTTGTTATCACGCATATGACGCGGACGTCCAATCTTTGAGAATTCAAATGACCGGTACATCCATCACTCAAAAATGATCTCATCAGTTTTGGAAATTCGTGTGTTTAGAGACCATTTAGTCCTACATTACCAGTAGAACTTGTAAGGTTTTTTAGAACTTCTATTAAAAGAATTTTTTATAATACTATTAAAAGTTTTTTTTTTAAAATTTCAAGTATTCAATAATTTATGTTTTTAAATTGTGTGAATTTTGATTTATCTGTCACAATAAACAATAAGCAAAGATTTCAATACATACTCATAACTCAAAATAAATATTGCGATTGATAGGATACTAGTATAATGTTTATTAACATTATTATAATACTTTTAGAAAAATAATAATTTTAATTATAAATATATTTGTTAGAAATTTCGGGCCGTTCAAGGCCTAATACAATGAATCCCTCGGTAAGTATAATATATTGGTTTGCTTTCAGCTTAGCCCGCCGGATCAAGCCGGATCGATCCAAACCCCTTAACCCAATCTTAAATCCAAACCCAAACCCATTTAGTTATATATAGGGAGTGAGATTGGGAGTTAAGTGAGTGAGTTAGTTTTCTCAAAAAGGAAAAAATCGAATATCACAGACCAAGAGAGAGAGAGAAAGAGAGAAACCGATGAGTGTTCCAATGGGATTCCATGAGTGTCGAGAGTATTCCGGTGAGGATATCGAGCCATTTCTCTGTGTTGATTCCGGTGGGTGTCGAGGCTTGGTGTGAAGAGCCAACCTCCAATCTTATAGGCGTGGTTACCTCGGGCCAATATGGCACCATGGAGTAAGCCGACATCAACATCCTTTAGTTGCCGGTGAAAGTTCGAAGAAGATCGTCTGTGAATGAAAGAAGATCGGAGGATAATCAGTCGTCGTCTTTCGATGTTCGTCGCTGTTCGCTGATGTTGATCGGAGACGCACTCAGAGCTACTGGCTGTGACCGCTGCCAACCGGAGACTATCGCGCATAGCCGCCAAACTCTGGAGCCGCCCGCTGTCTCTGCCCGAGGATGCCGGAGGATGTTGATCTAAGTGTCGTCAATGCTGCATATATAGAGTTTTTGCACTCTAATGGAGCTCTATTTTTTACACAAAAAATTGGTATTTGCAACAGTGCAGTTGTATGGCGTTGGCTTTTTTTAAAAAAATAAAATAAAATTACATATTAATTCTTTATTATTATTTATTTTTAAATTTTTTTATTTTTAAAAAAAAAGTAATATTAAAATTATAGATATAAAAAGTAGTTTAAAATAATACTTTCTCCACCTCATAACAAGATATCCATTTAATTGATTTGTAATACGTTTTGATATAATAATTAATATTCAAAGATCAATATGCTCAAAAAAGTAAATGGATACTTAGTAATGAGACGGAGGGAGTATATAAAATAAAATATTTTGAAGAATATTATTTTTGAAGTAAAAAGTAGAATTATGAGTTGGAGTAAAAATATTGAAACTGCATTTTTTGAGTTAATACTGTATCTTTCCCAATTCATTTCAATTCATTCATGTCTGTTTGTTTGTAATTGATTTTTAATATCCAGAATGTCATTTTGCCTAATTCTTTGCGCTTGAATTCAGTTTCAATTCTGTGTAATATTCATTTCGGTTTTATTCGAATTTTGCTTCAATTATTAATTAATTTGTATAATTTTGTATATAAGGTATTATTCGATAAATCCAAAATTCCGAAAATAAATTCACAACAATACTA